AAAGGGGAGGGGGGAAGAGACAGAAATCTTTAATAAATTAAAAAAATAAATTAAAAAAAAACAAAATTAAAGCTACGAGAGCTAGTTCAAAAAGCTAGGTCAGGTTTTTGTGTTTGTTTATTGTTAACTTTTGGAGTCCTAGGGGTTGAACTTAGCTACGCAGGTGACAGGCAGGTGCTCTGACACTATCTCCTCACTTCTTTCTCTACTTTTTATTTTGAGGCATGATCTCACTGAGCTGCCCAGCCTGGCCCTGAAGTCACTCTCTAGTGTATAGTGCTGCAGGCCTCAGGACGGTGTTCCTCTTGCCCTAGCTCCTGAGTAACTGGGGTTATAGATCTGTGCCTCCAGACCCAGGGAGCTTTGAAGCTGTATGTTAAAAAGTAATGTCCAACCTGCTTCACAGAAATCGCTGCTTACTAAAGAGAACTTTGAAACCCACGGACAGCTAGAAATCACCGTAGCCCCAAAAGGTCACCAGTGGCCCCCCCCATCAGTGGTACAGTCTCTGTGTAAGTCGGTCTCTGTGGTCAGCTCAGTCCAATCCACATGTTTTCACAGATGTTAGCTATTTCCAGCTCGAGTAACTCATCCGTGTGCAGCGGTCATACACAGTCCTGGGTTGCCTAACAGTGGGGCATCTTCAGAGAATGTGTCCTTAGGTGGGTCTGATCTCTGCGAACAGCTCAGGGTTCACACGCCCAGACGAAGATAGTTGTGGCATGAACCTTACAGGACCACCTTTCTCTGTGGTGGACCAAAATGATGTTGTGAAGTGTATGATTGCACTTGATGTCATTTTAAATGAAAGGAAGGCTAGGATTTGTAGTACAATGTGCTGTCTCCTTCCCTTCCTCCCCTTCAGTTTTCTGTGGCTGCATCATCTCAGTGAGTTCTGCGGCCATACATCATGGATGTTTCGTACCTGACCTAATGGTGCAGAAATAGGAAACAGTTAAATTGATTTTTCTGTGTGAATCGTGTTAGGTAGCAGCTGACATTTTGTCATTAGAAGCTATTGCTCAGCATTTCTGAGACGGGCTGCCCTTGAGTCTGGGAGGTGCTCTACCTGGCCCAGTTCACCAGACATGGAAGCTGGTCACTCCAACGTGTTATTGACTTCACCTGTGCAGCCACAGACAGCATCAGCATTGAGTGACTGTGTGGTCATTCCTAATCTAGCCTTTGCGTTTTGCCTGCCATGAGGAAAACACATATGAAGTCGTGAGGTGTCTGCACTGAGGTCTGGTGAGAGACAGGGGTTGGAGGGGAATGTTGGGTCCACAGCACAGTCACCCCCAAAGTATCTCATCTCCCATGGCACAGGATATAAGGTCAGAGGTGGATCTGGCAACAGTTGCTTCTATCTGCTCCCAGGCCCCTGGTGACGTGGTCTGTGGTGACGTGCCCACGAAAATCATATTTCCAACTCCATCGGCTGATTGGCTTCCATGCGTTATTCCAGCATTTTTAACAGGCCTGGGTTCACACACAGGCTTGGGTTTTCTCCTCTACTCCTCATTAATTCCGCTACGTTCTCAGCTACGAACATTAAAGAATATTAAGTCGTGTGATGTTAATTGAGGTTTTTACAATGAGAAGGATGAAGTTGAGGTGTCTAATTTAAATTATTAGAGATCTAATTTGGATTACTAAATATTAATATCTAATGGAGATCATTAGAATTACTCAAAGTATTCTTTGTGGAGCCCTTCATTGGTTTCTAGTTTGGCGAACAACTCTTTCCAGCCCGAGTTAAATCAATAGGCAACCCATAGGTAAAAATAGATTTCTGGCATCAAATCACTTTACACTAGGCCTCTGGCTTGGGAAACCCTACCTCAGAGTTGCCTTTTTTAAATCCCAGTTCCATTCTCTCTCTGAGTCAAAGTCATGGAAGGAATCTATTGTCTGCGTGGAAATGATTCACTGGGGAAAACCAGAGGAGTGGCCTCTTTCTGCACAGTATTCCCCAGGACCCCCCTGAAGCTCCCCAGGGAAAGCGGATGGAGCCAGGAGGCAGAGCTTAGACGGCTACGGGGTGGCGCATGCTCCGGGCAGGCAGAGAGCAGAATGGGGTGGTGCGTGCTCCGTGCAGACAGAGAGCAGAACGGGGTGGCACATGCTCCGGGCAGGCAGAGGGCAGAATGCTGATATTCAGTAGCTAATGTGGAGAGGGAGCGTGTGACTGTTCTAGCTAGGCCAGGAACGTTGTCCCAGTCCTTGAACACGCTACACCTCTGTACCAATGCTGAGAGTGGTGACTGGTCTTGGTTACAAGATGATCCTTACTTAAATATGCCGAAACAAGTCAGAACGCAGTTCCCGGCATGGGTCTCCACCAATAATTTAACATCAGCCGGTGGTTGTCACCAAACATTTATTTATTTATTTATTTATTTATTTATTTATTTATTTATTTATTTATTGTTTTTTTCGAGACAGGGTTTCTCTGTGGTTTTGGAGCCTGTCCTGGAACTAGCTCTTGTAAACCAGGCTGGTCTTGAACTCACAGAGATCTGCCTGCCTCTGCCTCCCAAGTGCTGGGATTAAAGGCATGCGCCACCACCGCCCGGCTATTTTTTTGAAATTTTTAATTTTCCTGGAGTTTCATTCTACTTCATTTGGCCATGGAAACTGCACACATGTAGGGGGTCAGAGGACAACTTGTGAGAGTCGGTACCAGGGTTCAAATTCACTCTGCTTGCTAAGCCATCATCTCTCAACCCCCCACCCGCCGACACACCTTAAAAAAATACATACTCCTACAGGGTGAATTTTGTAGTCATGATAGTACACATGCCTATATCCTAGTACTCAGGATGGTAAAGTAGGGGGATCAGAAGTTCCAGGCCACCATGGGCTATATAATGAGAGCCTATTATAAAACAAAAATTACTCTCACTGTATGAAGTTTGTTTAGCAACAGGGTCTCATCATATAGCCCTGGAACCAAGCTGTCTTAGTTAAGGTTTCTAATGCTGCCAAGAGACACTTTGACCATGACAACTCTTATATGGAAAACATTTCATTGGGGTGGCTTAGTTTCAGAGGTTCAGTCCATTATCGTGGTAGGGAGCGTGGCAGCATGCAGGCGGACTTGGTACTGGAGCTGAGAGTGCTACATGTCACAGGCAACAAAAAGTGTCACACTGAGGGAACTGGAAGCCCACCCCCAGTGACACACTTCCTCCAACAAGCCCCCCCTTCCTAATAGTGCCACTCCTTTTAGGGGCCATTTTCTTTCACACCACAGTCACTGTACCTAGCTGTCCCCGTTTTAACATCTATTCATCTGTCACATAGTCCCATCTCCTCCTGACTGGAACACAAACCTCAAGGGCTGTCCCAGCCCCTCCCTCTCTTCCGAGCCTCTTCCCAAGTCTACGGGTGGACATTTTAGGACAATGTCACACTTTAAACTCGACGAGTGAGTGGTGGGATAAGCAGAGGCACAGGATGAACATAAAAGAGAATCATTAGGCAGGCGTGCTGACACACGCCTTTATTCTGGCAGGCAGAGGCAGGTGGATCTCTCTGACTTCAAGGCTAGCCTACTCCACATTGAGTTACAAGCTGCAGATACATAGTGAGATTGTTTTAAAAAGATGCATTACATTCATTTCATTTTGGCTTTAAGTTGGGAATAATCAATAGGCAGGTAGATGTGATAAAGGTGACATGGGCTAAAAACTAGAGAGAGGCTTTCTACGGCCGTGGGAGGGAAAGGAACCAGAGGAAGAAACAGTGCTGCTTAAGGCTTCAGACACAGACGTCTGTGTGTTTCACGATGCTGGGCTTGTCTTCTCTGCTATCAGGTAAAGCACAGAATGACCAAAACCAAACAAACAAGGAGGACGCAGGACAAATGGGATGACTAGAACATTTGGGAAGAACCCAGACAGTTTCTCACAAAGAGTTCTCGGGTACAGCAAACCCCACCTAAGATGACATAACTAATCGTGCTTGGTGGGAGGAGGCTGACTTGGCGAGCTCTTCCACATCTTAGATACACACATTTACACTGCTATTTGATTCCACTTGGGGGAATCGTCCATCAGGTGCATCCAAACAAGGAGCGAGGGCTCAGGCTCCACAGTGATTCTGAATTATAGAATGAAGTCCCAGGGTAAGCAGTCTCTGGTTACATGATGGTTAGGAGGTGTGTCTGAGTCTCTCCTGCAGAATATCCAGCACCAGTGCAGGTCAGGCCAGATGATTCTTCAGCCCTCTCCATGGCCAGCTGCCAACACGCAAGGCCTGGGCTACCTCTGCTGAACCAGAACTAATCGTCTGAACCAGGAGCTCATGGCGCCATCCACTCGCATCACCAAAGCTATGCCCAGGAGAAGTCCCACACTGCTCACAATGAAACCAGTGGCTTCAAAAATGAACCTGTGAAGAAAGATGGAGTATTTCAGGACACAGATAACAATAGGTCGAATACCTTTCTTAAGACGCAAAACCTTGTCGACTTAGGATAGCCATGGTTTCCTCAAAGTCTCTCCCTCCACACCACTTCTTCTCAAGCAAACCCACTTACTTTGGGGCAAACACCTTCCAGACCATGAGATGCCTTCGGAGGATGGAAGCTGCCAAGGCACAGGCTAGAATCTATGGGAAGAGAGGCGGGCAGTTACTTTGGAGGAAGCAAGGCAAAGGAGGAAAGCAGTGTATACCATTGGAAAACACCCTGGGTTGGAAGTTAGGAGACCCAGTTCTTTTTTTTTGNATTTATTTATTTATTGTTTTTTTCGAGACAGGGTTTCTCTGTAGCTTTGGAACCTATCCTGGAACTAACTCTTGTAGATCAGGCTGGCCTCGAACTCATAATGATCCGCCTGCCTCTGCCTCCCGAGCGCTGGGATTAAAGGCGCACGCGCGATTACCGCCAAGCGTCACCGTAACTTTTAAAACACTTTCTCATGGTCACCCCTAGTCAGTGGATTGCTGTTGAATTCTGCCCGGTGTACATGTGTATGAGGTCTAACTAATGTATTAGCCTCTTTCAAGGAAAACAAGTCCAAATCCATAGCTTCAAAAGTAGCTCAGTATACTGACTTGATTATATGTAGCAGGCTTCATGGCCTTGTGTTCAAAACGCTACTGAGAAGCATTCCATGTGCCCTTGACAAACACTGTCTGCCTGTGTATTTGGAGTTCATCTGAAACTTTACATCTAATTTGTATCTAAAACACAAATTCTAGGCGGTTGGCCCACTTCTTTCTCTCATTTTGGTTCTTGGCCTCCTAGAGCAAGGAATAGATGCCAGGTGGCCACCTAGGAAGGCCCTGTTTGGCACAGCCATTGTACACAGGGCAGGCAGATAGATTTCCACAGCTCTCTGTGGGAGTCTTGCAAGCCTGAGTGTATATTGACTTTCTTTCCCTTCCCCTTAACTTCATAGTTTATCTATGAAAAACTCGATTTAGAAAAACATGTGTTTCACAAAACCAGGTTTAGATCCTAATGCCCTAGATGCAGTGGTAACTGAGAAAGACAGGGAAAGGCTTTTCCTGCCAGGTTTCATCACTGTCCCCGGGGACTGTCTTCTACAAGGGGCACCTGTGTGGCTCACACTCTGGGGTGAGAGGTGAGCGGAGCAAGGCTCAGCCCTGCGTCAGCCTGCTCATGGTTTTGTGGTTAGCAGCCCTGGATGCGTGTGGCAGCTGCCTTGTGCTTTAAACAAGAGGGGACGGGGTGTCAGAGGCCGTGGAAACCCACAGAGCCAGGGTCAGAATCTGCCCTGGCTACAATTCGTGGAATGACACCTCGGCCTGGCTACTCTGTATATTTGTCCCAGTGAAGTGGCCTGTCCTCAAAGTTCCAGTCTTACCTGTGATCTGCCGGGAGTTTGGGGCACTTAACCTGACGTCAGCACGTAGCTGACGTAACTGACGTCAGCATGTGTCACCCGCCATTAGCTTCTGTTTGCTCACTTGTGTTTTTCCACCAGGACGCAATTTTATTGAGCGCTATCGTGCGGCAACCATAAGGGCGCCTGCTGCGGAATCACACACACATGTAGGAGCAGCCCACCTTCAGGGGACCGAGTTGTTAGCTCCTGAAGACCCAGTCCTCATCCATTAACATCTTTCGGAGCATCTAGAACAGTATGCAGCTTGCTAGGAGTATAGGTGCACATTTGTAATCCCAGTACGTGGGCAGCGGAGGCAGGAGGGTCAGCAGTTTAGGCTAACCTCACACCTCACGTACATAATAAGTTCCCCCAGCCAGCCTGGGATAGAAGAGACTGTGCTGTGGGAACTGTTTCCTTGGGGGAGATATAAGCAAACACCTCCTCGGACACCAACAACAAACCAAACGATGGTCCCATCAAAGTCCAACTTGAGGAACCAATGAATTTTGGAGGCTCCTTTACAGAGCAGGGTGAGGGATTGCCTTCAGAGCACGGGTGGGTGACCCTAGAGGAACCATGCCATTGCATAGTCTCCCCCCAGCATGACTGGTGACATCTCTGTAGCTGCATCGGTGGAATGTGCCTTCAGTTACCTTTTACGGTCGCCTCTAGAGAATACAAGACCATGGGACAGAATTACATACAGCTAGCAGGCAAGTGAAGGAGGGAGCATTCAGAGTCCGGAGGTGCGTTGATTCCTCCCTGCCCCTTTCCGTGAGGGGATGTCAACAGGCAGCAGGCCCACCCAGGGACTCTTGCAAGCGGTCACAACTGCCCTGATGAAGACAAGGGTTGTGCTTGAAGGACAGCCCTCCACAGCACTCTGTCCCTGGCTCTGGGAAGGTGAGGGCTCTGAGAGGTCTGCTCTGGGAGATGTGTGACGGCTCAGCTCTGCTCAGCCTTCCTCCTTGTCCCACCTGGTTGGTGTGCTGGTGTGCTGACCTTCCACAGATGGACTCATACAGCCTAGCACTTCAGTGCTGGGTTCCTTCCTGTGGATTGCCATGCAGAGGCCTCCCCCCCTCTCTCTCTCTCTCTCTCTCTCTCTCTCTCTCTCTCTCTCTCTCTCTCATGAACACTTGGAATACCAACTTTTTGCAGGCAGAAGATCAAATTCCTGTTTCAATTTTACCGTATTTATCCTCCTTGAAGCTTTAGAAACAGTAGTTTTGGCCCGAACTATATCCTATACATGTACGAAAACTTAAGGTCCCGCCCCTCCAGCTATGTATTCACAGGTTACCGTGCTGCTCCACCACCAAACTGCACACACTGAATTAAAACTAAACATCGAGGCTGATTTACGAGATGAATCGAAAGCTCATTTAATTACTTATGTGATTTGTTCCTCCTGAAAAACACCATAAAAACCACAGCAGTTCTTGAAGCCACCCCAGCTGATAGCCCCGTGCTCCTGACCTCAGCGTTGGGGCTGGGGCCTGGTGACCTGGTGATAGAAGAGACTGCAGGGATGTGGCTTATCTGAGTAGGCGGAGCCACCCATGCTGCCTGAGTTAACCAGTGAGAGAACAATCCTCATAGAGACCTTGGGAAATGAAGAGAGAGCTTAATGAGTTAGACTTCAGACATAAGGGATGCTTATGGCATGGGTGGGAAGGTGGGTATGTGGAGGTGGGGGGGGTTATCCCCAAGACGCGCACAGATACACCGGCCAGGTGGGCATGGTGCACCACCTTATAGAGTTGAATGGGTCGATGAGACCATAACGCCCCAGTTAGACTCCTGATTGTGGAGGCCAGGAAGCCACCTCCTCCCACTGCACAATGGTGAAGGGACTGGCTTTTGTGTAGAAGACATCCGCCACGGCTAGCTAGCACTTTCCATAGGGTCCCACTGTGCCAGTAACACCAACTACAGGAGAAACAGATTCGGGAGAGGGAAAGCCTCTGGTAGGAATTGACCCCTGCGTTTGCTGTTGCTTTGTACAGGCCTTAAGGATTTCCTTTAAGGGTTGAAGAAGAAGCACCAAGAAGGTACAAACTGAGAGGGTGAGCAACTCAGTGTTCCTGGAATTTAGTGCAGTACCCATTGTCCCCGTCGTGCTCTGCCAAAGCTGCAGGACGCTTCAGAACCACCTGGGGGAAGGAAAAGAGGGTGACTTTTGGGCCTTGTGGAACTTTGTTGAGTTGTATCCATCAAGAAGAACCTAGCTAGAGAGAAGGAGTTGTAGGGAAGTCCTTTAGTCCCCAGGGTTGTATTTTTACGAAGTCTCCTGAGAACTGTGGAAAATGCCAGAGTGGCGCTTGTTAAGAGTTATAGAGAATTCTCCAGCAATATACACATGGATCTTATTAATTTTATAAATTCATTTTGAGTTCTGTTTCATAGAAATTTGCCATTAAAAAAAATCATTTGTATTTCCAGGGGAGGATTAGAGAAAGTGACTGGCTTGGTGGGCTGCACTTCCGGCATGTGGGTCTCTGGGACTGAACTGAAGTCAGCAGGCTTGCCTGCACCTTTACCCTTTGAGCCCTATTGTCTGTTCTGGTTTTGTTTTTAAGTGAGTGAAGAGTAAATATCATATGTTCTTGCTAAAGGGACTAATTTAATAGGCAACAATAAAATACTGATGTCAGTGGACAACTCTCTCTTTGAGGTTCTACAAGAACACCCAAGAAAGTCACAAGCAACCCTGTGTATATGCGTGCGTGTGTGTGTGTGTGTGTGTGTGAGCATGCCTTAAAAAAGTTTCACCAAGTTATTTTATCTTTTTAAGACATGAAGCTGTAAACGGAACAAATGTTTTGTGGGTTGGGGGCAGTAGGAGAAGAAGTAGGGCATGGATAGGACCAAGATACATTGTATACATGTCCAAAATTTGTCTAAGAATTAAAGTATCAGTTATGAATGTGAGTCTAAAATGTAAGTCCTGCTTTCTGCTACTTTGTAAGCACAATGCACTGGCTGAGAACTGGCCACTGGTTACATAAATCACAACAGCTGGTGTGGATTTGGACTTGGGGAGCGCCTTCACCCTTTCCTTACCTGTTGCTGCATCCTGGCCCCAAGGGTCATCAAGGCTGGTGGGCCTCTCTGGCTAAATAATGCTAGAGTCCAAGCTGGAAGGATTGGGAGGCCTTGCTTTGTTCTGGAGCTTTAATATTTTAATGAGCCTGCAGGCTTGGCCGCTCTCTCAGAGTGTGTTGTTAGTGTTAGCACTTGCAGAAGGATGTTCATTAGGAAGCTCTTGTTTCAGCATCTCAGAAACTCCCCATTAGGGCAGATCTTTCAGCAACGCGGCCTTCGAGAAAGGAAAGGTGGAGAGCCTTGCGCCAGGAGCATCCAAGGGATTTGGTATCAGTAGTCTTAGTTCTAAAGATTTGCTTCGGAGAATTAATTGGAACAAATACATCTCAAGGGGGGGCGGGGGAGGGAAGATTGTAGACCAAAGAGGTACTTGTTGTCTTCACAAGGAGAGGGCTCTTCATCTTGCAGCTGAATCAATACGACACTAATTATTTCTGGTTATCTTTTATGGGTTTGTAAGACATTTCTTTTGTTCTGTGTCATTAAAAAAAAGCCCATTGTTTGATCAGTGAGTGACTAATTATGATAAGTAATTTGAAACATTCTTGATGAAACTTGCCTGTTAATTAACATCAACAGCACACGGAGACTACCAGGACAACAAAGGTTCCGTGCATGCGCTGTTCCTGGAATGGATGAGCTCTCCCTGGCATGCCCAATAAACCATGATGCCAATGGTTAAAAAAAAATAACAAACAGGTGGGAAGGTCTGACTCACAGCAGGGGGAAGAGTTGTAAAGCTGCACAAAAGAGTATTGGAATATCACAAGGGCGGGGGGTGAGAACCCAGTGTCAACAGCAGGCTGCAGGGCCTGGTGGCTCAAAGGAGGTAAGGGTTCGACCTATGTTTTCTGAGGTAAATTCCCCAAAGCATCTGTCCCCTGGAGACACCACTGGTGAATCAGAGTGCAGCTTGGTTGGGGGTGACTGGTAGCATCTGGCTCGTTGGTGTCTGCATTTAAGGATGTTCACGTTTATCAACTCAGTGGTTTTTCTTTTATGCTTTTTAGATTTCTACCCGGACAAGGCCTGGTACTATACCCACAGATAGGAGACAAATTGGATATTATTTGCCCCAAAGTGGACTCTAAAACTGTTGGCCAGTATGAATATTATAAAGTTTATATGGTTGATAAAGACCAAGCAGACAAATGCACTATTAAGAAGGAGAACACCCCCCTGCTCAACTGTGCCAGACCAGACCAAGATGTGAAATTCACCATCAAGTTTCAAGAATTCAGCCCTAACCTCTGGGGTCTAGAATTTCAGAAGAACAAAGATTACTACATTATATGTAAGTATAGTTCTCTCTCTTTATTTTGTAGGAATTAGAAGCTAACTAGGTGTGTATTGATTTCTGTTTTCTTTAACTTAGCATGGCAAATTATTTGTTGAGAAGCTTTGTTCATTTTTTTTAAAAAATTAATTGAAATTTGGGACCCTGTTGTAACAGTATTAATTAAATATAAATACCCAGCAGGGGCGAACCTGCGTGGATTCTTACAGTGTTGAAATAAGTAAATTATGTGAAAGGACTCAACATCTCTACTAACAAAACCATCTTTAAGGACCTTTGGTGAGGTTTTGATAGGTAAATCTGTGTGATGCTTTTTCTCTCCACCCAACCATCTGTCCATCCATCGTCCACCCACTCATGCATTTAGTGTACATTGTGTTCCAAAAACTGTGTTTCAAAGCTAGGACTCGGTAACCAAGGTGCATTGGTGGCACAGTCTTCCACGACGTCATCACTCCAGACAGGCAGAGCTCAGAGTTTAGAAGCATGGGGCTTACAGACAGGTGCCAGTATGGGTGGTAAAGCCTGAGGGTGCTGCCTGAATGACAGCCCCCAAATCTGTTATAATAATATGGAGTTATTTCAGGAGGAGAGGGTAGATGTCCATTGGGTATATCTGAAGTGCATTCGTGAGCTGAGCCCACGTGACATGCGTGCCGTGCACACGCCACAGCGAGCACTGACCAGGCCTGTTCTCAGTGTCATGGGTACAGTGAAATCTGTTACTCAGGCAGCTGCCCACGTGGTTCAAACAATGAGATTCTGGTTCATTTTTTTGCTTTCAAGGTAGACTCTTTGTGGGCTTTCTGTAGTTGTTTTTTAATGGTAGTATTTAGATGAAACTCCTGATTCACGGAGGCCAGTACTTGACCACTGAGCTCTACCCCAGCCCTCGGGTTCCACTCTCTACCCTGTGTCCCTGGTCTGCAGCTCCCTGTGGTGAAGCTGGCCTCTGGCTTGGCTCCCTTACCTCTGTAACCTGAGACTGGAAGTCTGATTTCTCCAGTTGCGAGCTACTCTTTCCATGACAGAAGCAGCCATTCACTGTGTTCACCTAGTGTTCCTCGGTGTGTGATTTTTACATCAGTAATTAAAGCAAAGGTGGTCCCAGGCCATAATCATCTTGTCTGTGGCTTCAAATGCCACGGAGACGAAGAACCGATTTTTGAAGCTTACATAATATATAGGAAATAGATTTCTAAGAGTAACCAAAAAAGGAGAAAGTGGCGAGTTAGATACTTAATGAAATAATTACCGTAAACTGGGCATTGTAAGATGAAGCAAGGCAAATGGGAGGGTAAGAAAAGAGGGCTATCTCTGAAGAGATAATAAAGTAGTCACAACGTAAAATACATGGAAGTTAAGGTTTTGGAAACACACGCATATGGATAAAGACTTCTAATGGTTGCCATGATCTAGCATGACTTTTGGAGAAAATGAAACTGACCCCAGATTAGTTCCTTTCGAAAGGTCACTGCTCCAGCTGAGTGGAGAAAGGAGGGCGAGCACATGCCTGAACGGGTCAGCTGTTGCCAAGACAGGAAAATACCTGATCCCGAAAACGCTGTCAAGGAAAATCTTAGGGTTCCTCCATTGATGGGGGGTACCAGCAGGCCTGCATAATTTCCTCCTCCATCTTAAGATTAGATTTCAAAACAATGGCATTGAAAATTCCAGCTTCCTACGAGGGGCAAGTGGAAGCTTGGTGAACATTACAGATTTAACATTTCATTTCAAATAACATACACGCAATGTAGCTAAATGATCGGTTTACCAGCATCTCTCTGTGCGTCATGGTGAGCCTGTCCCAACTGCTCTTCATCAACGTGTGGGAGCTTAGCTTTGGACTCGCCCCTGCAGTTTAATCTGTAGTTAAAGTAGCAGTCTACCCAATAACAGCACCCATTCCTTAGGAGACCCCATTAGGCCACATTAACAGGTGTATGGCATGTTTCTCACTACTCTGACCCCCAGGACTGTCCTTAGAGTTAGGATTTACCATGTCTTGGCATGGGATGGCTTTTTGTAATTCAGGAAGCTGAAGCAAGAGGACCTCAAGCTGAAAGCCAGGGTACTCTACACACAAGGTTCTTCTGTACATTCAAGAACTAGAAAGCGTCTTAAAAACAGAGCCTTGGCTGTCAAGCAATGAGGCACTGTGAGAATGTTGCTTCTAACAAGATGTTCCCAGGCCTGTGAGTGGCTCAGGACTTTTCCAGGAAGCCCTGTGCTTGCTTGAAAGGCTTCCCCTACGTCACAGGCAGAAGAGAGTACTTAGAGACATGGAGAAGCCAGTTTCTCACACACACTCCGTAGCAGCGTCCGCTGCTGTACAAGTTCCCTTGAAAAGAGGGAAGTGATAAGATCAGATTTTAAAATAGCACCAAAAACAGTCAAGGGATTTGAAAAGGTAACCAATTGTCCTATCAAACAGTTGTATGCAGGATACACACACGTACATGCTCATGCATGTGCGTGCACACACACACACGCCTGTTCTTTTCTCAGAAGGAAAGTATGTATAGGCAATAATCTTTATACCAGTACATTCATGAAGATGGCTGGAAAGCACAACGGGAAGTGTTCAGATTCGCAAGTGTATTTTCGTACTGCCAAGCACTGGTCCGCTTTGAGATTGCAATAGATGGCATACGTGTTTTGCTGACGCCAAGGCTTAGCAGCTGGCTGCTGGGCACTTTCACCCCGGGCAGTGTCAGGAGCATCATGTGCTAGTCCCGTCATGGGGGCAGAGGAGCAGCTGTAGTGTGGAGGAGTGCTTGGCGTGCCCCCGTGGGGAAGTACACATGGCTACTCTGTCCTCCCAGGAGTCCAGCGCCTTATGTCTCTCTTATGCTGCATGAGCTTCGTGAGGGAGTCACTTTAATTTCTTCCTCTAGAACATTATTTTCTCGCTGTTGTCCAGACGGTGACGGTCAGACGCACAGAGCCACTGCTGTGTCAGCGATATTTCCCAGTGAAAGCCAGCAGGGTCTGGCCCTGATTATTATTTTTTTTGACAAGGATTTTTTTTATTTAACTTGTAATGTTACCCAACTTACAGTCACTGCATCTTTGGGTTTTATAGTAAACATTAATGTGTAATTGGAACTGTGTGTATACCCCCCTTATCCCCAGAGTTCTCTTAAGAAGTGACATTGTAGAACGATAGGCCTCTTCATTAGTCCTCCTCCGCAATGATTCTTTGCTTTGACATGTGGCAAAATGATATATATGGGGTTTCTTCGTGTTTCGAATTGACTTTTCAAGCGACCTATTTCAGTCATTAGCCTCGGGCTTAATTTGCATAACTAATAAACTCTTCTAATCATGAGTGATCTGGAGATGTGTGGTCTGAGAACTCCCTGCTCTTCGTTACAGTCAGATCTTTAACGGCTTTAAAAACAGAACTGGCCTTTATCTAGTCTGTAGTTGGTTTTTTATCGTGGCTCTCATTGAATTGTTTATGAAATAACTGCATCTTCTGATTCTATCCATTTGCAGTAGAGTAGAAGCTCACTGTTGGATATAGTATTCTAAAAAGCCATCCAGTTTGAATTGGGAAGGCACCTGTCCTCTGAGTGCCCAGCCTTCAGCACTGAAGTTCTCTTAGAGAAACTGTTCTTGCTTCTTCAGGGCTGAGTCAGCAAGCTCCCTGTGTTGGCCTCCTCAGCTCTATCCTGAGGCAGGTGCTGTGGGCTGATACCCAACCTGAGCTGAAACCTTGTGAAGTCTGCACAAAGTGACTGTAGCGAGTGTCTCGTATTCTTCCACTGTGGGTGAGCGAGGGGTCCCCCACGGGGCGTGGACAGACTTCATGCTGCTCTTACCATTTGTTTCTTGTGGTTTCTGTCTTGTTTTACTGTGCACCCCTAGGCAGGTCATAATCTTCTAGCATCATCTGGAAGTCACCGTTTTTCTAAAAACTGTCCGATTGTTACTAAATCACCGAGTGTCTTCTTGGAGACAGCTATCTGTGTCCGGCCTGCCTTGCTGAGTCTGGGGGAGCCTCCGTTTCTTAAGCCTCTTTAATAAGAGTGTGCGGAAGTGGCAGGCTCCACAGATACTGTTGAAATCGTTTTTAAAGCGTACACTCCACTTCAGAGCAGAACTCACAAAAAAAGAGAAATATTTGCCCAAATAAATCCAAATAACAGTATTAATGAGCCAAAAACAATGGTTTGTTCCTTATTTGGTTGAACATATGTTGCTTTTTTTTTTTTCTTGGCTTTGATTTGCTCTTTTTGGGTGATGAGTGTGGCAAGTTGCACTAACTATATCAAGTGCCCTGTCACATCTCTTTGCAAAAGCACTGAATGCCAGAGCGGCTCTCAGATGCCCTTTGACATGAAGATGACTTTTAGAACATGGAAGAACGCATGGCAGTCCTGGAGCGATTACAGCATTTATTCGGTGGGTTATCTGTGTATAAGTGTAGCAGCAGCCACACTCCCTTCATTGCGTACCAGATAGCTTAGCGATGCAGAAACTGCGTCCTGCCTTCCTGCTCCCTGTCTTAGTGGTGAGATTTGTGTCTGATGCCTTCACTGCACGCAGTTGAGTTGAGGCATGTAAGCGCGTTTCCAGCCTTATCTGTCGCTGTTCTCTTTGTGATGGTTCTTGCCGGAGACCATGTGGTCGAAGGCACAGAGGATGGATGGGTGCAAACCACATGTAGAAACACGAGTTGGCTTAGGAGCTATGAGTCCACGTCTGGTCAACGCGGGCCTTATGTGCCAGTAGATAAGTCACTCAAGCCAATTTCCTGCTATAGTCTTCTCGTCTTTAAAAGGGCATCACGGGAACACTTGGTCATGAGGGAGAATATGTCAGATGGCTTGTGGTCATCTGTGTGGTCACCAGCCAAGCACATGTTAACGTTGGAACAGGGAGGAAGTGAGAGGCTGGAGGCTGAGGCAAAACTGGACTTCATTGCGAGATAGAGCTCCTGGGGAGGACGGGTACAGAAAGCTTCCCTGGGTTGCAGTCTGGGCATCAAC